TTTAGGAAGCTGAGCAAGTGTTTAAAATATAGAAGGGAGGTAAAACACTCACAGTTCAACTAGAAAAGTCCCAGGAAAAGCTTTTAAAACATGAGGACGGAGGTAGATGTTGCAGATCTTTGTGGTACAGACACGAAAGGGGATGGGAATTAATAGATCAGCATTGAAAGAGCTTATACATAAAATTAAAATAAAAAATAAATCTAAATTATAAAATAAAATCAACCGAAATCCTAAGCTGGGAAAAGAAACGGGAAGAGTGTTCTTGACCAGTACAATTTAATAAGTATATTTCAAAATGAGGATTTCTCATTTGCCATAGAAATGAAGATTTCTTATTTTCCGTAGAAATTAAGATTTCTCATTTTCCATAGAAACGAGGATTTCTCATTTTCCATAGAAATGAGTATTTCTTATTTTCCATAGAAATTGAGATTTCTCATTTTCCACAGAAATGAGGATTTCTCATTTTCCATAGAAATTAAGATTTCTCATTTTCCATAGAAATGAGGATTTCTGAGGCTGGATCAAGCACTGATTTATTACATAGAGTTTCAAACTATGAGAATAGAGGTGGGACGCATCTCATCCAACCTTCCCTGTTTAAAGCTGGGTGTTTCAGTTGATTTTGCTGACTATCCCCATAATTAATGAAAAGAAAATTGGTATGTTTTGAGGGTGATGCCAGTTCTGGTAAGGTAAGCATCTCAGATGGGATGAATTGTCTTGGCAGAAATTCTTGTCCCTCCCCATTAAGTGTCAGGGAAGGCTGAGTAATTTCAAAATAACAAGTCACTTGTAATCTTGGCAGTGAAAATTAAGCTCTGTAACAATATGCAGAGTGTGCATCCACAGGTGATGACCTGTTAGTCAGGGAAAAAAAAAAGATTTTTAAAAAATAATTAAAATAAATCCATTGTTGCAATAATATTTCCTTGTTTATTTTATTTATTTATTTAAAATAAATCCATTGTTTTTTTACCTACCCAGTAAATCTGGGAAATAAATGCTCAAAAATTGTATCTTCCAGCAAAACTTTGGTTCAATTCCTTTGGTCAGGTGAAGGAGTAAGATCCAAAGGCAAAATAAACTCCATAATATGAACAAAAAAGAAAGAGAAAATACAAACTGAAGGAGAGAGATGTCTCATTTCAGAAAGAAACTGAGAAATTGGTATCTGCTTCACCACTATCTGGTGTTATCTCCCCTTTCAGAGCTGGGGAATATCAACATAGAGTAGCTAGTAATTATTAATCTGTTGGTATTTCCAGCCATGCTACATTGCTGAACCTGGGAGATCATTTATGTGTGTCTTTTTTGGTGAAAAATAAGGGAAAAAAAATGAATTTCACTTCAGAGAAAAAATTTCCCTTTGTTTTAAACACTGTTTCAGGTACTAAAATATATATAATACTAATATCCTGGATATTAATACTATTATATACTAATATACTGCTGGTCTTGCCAAGCAGCAAGGAAAATTCCCAATTTCTAAATCAAAGATCATTAAACAATATCCATGATTACCATGAGGACAAGAACCTCTCTCATGTTTTGTGGTTGTTGGGTGGGAAAAGGCTTCAGTCTTCCACCTCACTGAACATTTATTTCATTTCATTCATGAAAAATAAGGGAAAAAATATGAATTTCACTTCAGAGAAAAAATTTCCCTTTGTTTTAAACACTGTTTCAGGTACTAAAATATATATAATACTAATATCCTGGATATTAATACTATTATATACTAATATACTGCTGGTCTTGCCAAGCAGCAAGGAAAATTCTGAATTTCTAAATCAAAGATCATTAAACAATATCCATGATTACCATGAGGACAAGAACCTCTCTCATGTTTTGTGG